AGGGTTTCTTAGCGACTAGGTGGTTAGATCTAGGGTTTACTCACCCTCTCGTTTACTCACCTTCCTGTTTAGTCACCTTCCTGTTTAGTCACCTTCCCGTTTACTCACCATCTTGTACTTCCGGCTAGTCCGCCTCTTTACTCTTCTCTTTGTAACTCCTTGTTCAGATCTAATAAAAACGTCTTTGTTCGCCCTCATCTCTCTCTTTATATTGTTTCAAACCATTTTCACCTCAAACATCTTTGATATGAATGCAATTAACCATTATAATGAAAAATAAGTTCCTAGTGTTATTAGGAGTTGTGAGAATGATGTTTAGAAGATGAAGGCTAACCTTTTTGTAGGTGAAAATCCAACGCCTGGGAGATAGATGCCTGTTGTGAATCGATGAAGTTATGGTTGTTAGTGGAGACTTCAATGGTTTTTGTGACGTTTCAGAGGAAAAGAATATGAAACGAAAAGAATGGAATGTATCCCAACCCAAAGATTCATCACTAATATTAGTCTTTCACAACCTTTGAGAATGTCCATTTCTCTTTACCCTAATAACAGTTTGCAGTAGAGTATAATAACATAAGAAGACTATAAACATAAGCTTAAGAACATATCTAACATCGCTTGAAAAACACTTCAAACATGAGTTTATGAACATAAAGCACTCTGAATATGAGTTTAAGAAAATATTTACCTTCGAATCCAGCAAAAGCATATCAAGAGACATCAGTTCCCCTCCATGTATGGCAGCTTCACAGAACCAGAGCAACTGAACTTGGACAGTGGAGGAGCAGCGACATATTTTAGATCAGAAAGAAGATTGATGATTTAGTGTTTTCAAAGATTGTGGGGATGTTGTTCAAGTGAAGAAATCAAATCTTTTTATAGATGAACAATAGACCACGTTCAAGAGGGGAAACTCACCATCAATGTCCAGTCGTGCTACACGTCCGTCTATGGAGTTAAGAAAGCGATGATGACGCTAAATCTATAAATCGACCGTTTCGATTGAGTAGAGTAGAAGGCTAAACGACGCGGGTGGGGACAAATGAAAATTTTCTTCATCTCGATCTCAGTCATCAAACTCTCGAAGCACCATTGAAGTTTTGTGAGAACGCAGAGTTATTTTGGTCGGTCTTGGAATTCTTAGAAGAACATAAACCTTAATTTCAGCGCGAAGGGTACGAAGACTCTAGGGCCTATTGTGGGCTTAATTCATACAATTCACAAAAGCCTACAAANGGACAAATGAAAATTTTCTTCATCTCGATCTCAGTCATCAAACTCTCGAAGCACCATTGAAGTTTTGTGAGAACGCAGAGTTATTTTGGTCGGTCTTGGAATTCTTAGAAGAACATAAACCTTAATTTCAGCGCGAAGGGTACGAAGACTCTAGGGCCTATTGTGGGCTTAATTCATACAATTCACAAAAGCCTACAAATTCTCCTATTTCGGTTTAATAAAACGCCGAGTTTTGGTGTGGCGGGACAGGTGTCACGTTTAGGTAAGAGTATTTAGTAACGTTATATGATGAGGTGTATTGAGGAGAAGAGAATTCTCTTCTTCTTTATAGTATAAGATGTATCTTATTGAAATATTTTTTTTTAAAACATGATTTTTTCCAGAACGGGGACTATATTCCAATATGAATCGGAGCCCATTGTTGGCCCATTAATCACCGAAACTCATATTGGTTTTTAAAGGGAAAATCGCATTTGAGTCAACTTCTTCTGTACCCCTATTTTTTTAGAGGTAAATCTTCTATGGGCTCGCGTGATCTCTTATACCCCCATTTCATAATTCTTTTTTTTTTTATCAAAACCTAAACCCAAAATTAAATCATTCTCGGTATACAAAACTAAACAACCCCCCCCCCCCTCCAATGGATGAGTGAACCCATGAGCAAATATTTAAACTATGTAGCTTTCAAATTCGAAAAAAATATTTTTTAAAATATTTTTTTAATCATATTTTGATGATTTTCGTGAAAATATGAAAAAACGTTTTTTGATTTTTGAAATATTTTTTTATCAAATTCTATAAATCAAATAAAAAATATTCACGTTTCAAGTTTAATTTTATGTTTTTTTCCTTTGACATATAAAAGTAAAAGAAGAAATGTGTCCTAGAGAGATTAGAAAATGAGATTTAGAGGTATGAGAGGAATTGCCTCATTGCATTTTTAACCTTCAAGGTGGCAAATTTTTGCACTTTAAACCTCGAGACTAGAGCACTAGCACTTTAAACCGTCAACATGATTTCTTTAACACATTTAACCTCGATCGTGACAGACCTCGTCGCGCCGTAACAAAAATAAATGGAATTGTTAACACCGTAAAAAATCCGTTCACATACATTGTTTTTTTTAAAACGTGCTTAGTATTATTTAAGTTTCTTCCAACACGTGATTTATAAAAAGAATATCCCCAAAAACGATTTGGGAATTAGGGTTCGTGAGAGTCAAAATAAACAGAGGGAGAGAGAAGAAAACTGTCTCAGAGTGTTCAAGCAGAGAGTTCGATTTCAACATCAAACAACAGTGTTGTCACTTCCCAATGTAATCGCCCAACGAAGATCAAGAGAGCTTGGACCCGAGACAATCCAGGGCGAAGGTTCTTAAGTTGCAGAGGACGTCGCGTTGGTAATGGGTACGAGTCCTGCAACTTTTTTCGATGCTATGATGTGGAGAATCCTCATGGATGGCAGAATCTGGAACTTCTGGAAGCTAGGGATATACTCCGAGAGTAAAAGGAGGAAATCACAAAGTTGAAGGAGAAGGTAAGACCTCTAAGTCATGACTCTGAAAATTTGGAGATTTCGAGCGAATTAGTGAAGAAGATGAATGAAAACAATGAAGAGGTTGAAGCATTGAAGAGAGATGTGTTAATTCTAAGGGAGAGAGGTGATGTTCTTTATAATGTACTTGCGTCTTCATCGCTTGGTTTTGTTGTGGTCATTGGAAGTATCATGGTGATGTCCAAGCATTAATGTTGTTTATGCTATCTCTGTTGTGTTGGTTTTTCGTAATGCTGGTTCCTTATCTCTATTGTGGCTTATTTCTTATGTACTCATGTACGACTTATGTTATCGGCTTTAATATTTTATGTTTGTATGACTTATGTTAACTTCTTTAGTATCTTGGGTTTGTAAGACATGTTATTGGCTTTAATAGTTTGTGTTTTTTAAAGACTCATATATGTGTTTTATTGTCAAATATAATGGAGTAAAGAACATAACAGAAACTTAATTGAAAATCAGAAATAGTTTTCAAAAGTCGATAATCGTAGCAAAAGATACAAAAGCCGATAACTAGGTTGTGAAAGATACAAAAGTCAAAAAAAAAGATAGAGATGATAATGGTAGCAAAGAGATAGAAATTCCTTTTAACCATCATAAGAAGGCTGCCCAGTTTGTATGTTTGGGTCTTCTGAAGTCGCAGGGTTTCGGTCAGACCTATCATAGACTCTGTCTCTAAAAACCTCAAATGGGTGATCTAGAAATGGACTCCAAAATGTTCCAACACCATGTGGTATGTTACCAGTTTTTCTTATCTTCAGTGGTGGTCCTCTTGGTGCCTTCTTCACGTGTGCTTTAAGGCGATTTGTTGTAGCAGAAGGTTGAGGAGCACTGCAACTTACATCAGCTTCAGCGGTTGCATCGGATTGTATAGGTTGAGAGCTGCTTGTCGTGGCTGGAGTTTTCTTCCTTCCTCTTGGTTTTGGTGGTCGTTTAAGCTGAATCACAACACAATTATATGTTAAAAATGAAACAGAAAATTTAAAAGTGGAAGTAAATACCTCATCTGTGTTCTTTCTTGGACGACCACGTCTGTTTTTTGGCCCCTCCACAATTACTGGTTCATTCTTGCATCCTCTGGAAATATGGCCAGCTTGCTTACAACAACTACAATGAAAAACTCGTCCATGTCTAGTTTCTTTCCCAGAATTTTGTAGGTCTTCAAATGGTTCCTTTTTTTCTGTCCTTAGTCTTTGGACGACCCCTTGGCTTACGAAATTCAGGAATGGATATTGGTGGCTTATAAGTCTTCTTCCAGAACTTGTCTCCATTCACAGGTTTAACATTTTCTTCATAAGTCTTTTTTAAGACATCTGTGTAGTAGTACTCTGCCACATACCTTATAGGATCATCTTGGTTATCATCCAGGACACAGACATCATGTTTACAAGGTATTCAAGTGAGATCCATTTCCGACAAGCACATTGGTGAGTAGATAAGTTAACTGAATAACCACACTCAAACTCCTTAACTTCATACACACTTTTGCTGCTCCGTAACGTCGAGCAAAAATGTTTGGCAACTTGAGCTTTCTCCAATAATGCCATCGTGATTGGTGTAACAACAGTGTCACACTTCTCTGCTTTTAAGATCTTCTCGAAACTCTTCTCATAGCTTGTCTTCTGATATCTTCAAGTAAATTAACTACATGCTTTGATCTTGCCATCTTTATCGTCCTATTGAAACTCAGACAAGTTATTGTGCACGTCTGCATAATGGGACTCCTCCTTAAAGAACGCACGGCACCATCTCTCGGGTTCTGTATCAAGTATGGCACTATAAGACGCATGATCAAATGCCTTTTACCTTCTCTCGGGTTCTGTATCTAGAATGCACGGCACCACACACTTTTGCTGCTCTGTAACGTCGAACAAAACTGTTTGACAACTCGAGCTTTCTCCAATAATGCCATAGTGATTGGTGTAACAACAGTGTCACACTTCTCTGCTTTTAAAGATCTTCTCAAAACCCTTTTCAGGCTTTTTTTCTTCTTCTTTTTGCTCAAGATTCTTATATGCTTCTTTATCTATTTTCGCCATTGAGCCTTCTTCAGAAACTGCTTTAAATTTACCATCATCACCACCGTCTCCAACATCTTGTACAACATTGTCTCCGTTGTCATCATTCCCACCTTCCACATGTTCATTTTCTTCTTCCGCCACATCCTCATTTTCTTCTTCAACCAGGGGATCATTCATTTCATCTTCAGACTAATCAGATTCTCCATCTTCTATTGGTCTCTCGACTTCTTTTTCACTGGAAAGATCTTTATCTTCATCTTCGTGAACATCTTCACGCTGGCTCTTTGGTGTTACCAGATATATGGGCGGCTCACTATGCTCTGAAATATCATGTTCAACGAAGACTTCAACCTCACCTTTTTCTTTCGCGACACAAATCAACAAGAACATATCTTCCGAATATCCTTCATAAACATAGTTCAGTGTCTTCATCTCTTTCTCTACCTCTTTATACCATATAAATCTTATCGGTGCATTTATCAACGTGTCTTCCCTACTGAACTTCAAAAACTTCTGCTATAAAATGTCATACAATTCTCAACTCACTGTCTTGACTCCCAATTCACCCTCATACTTATAAGTTTCTCCAGTTTTCTCCATTACTCCACCGAAGTGGATTCTCACCGTTACTGTCGTTCCTTCACTGTGTATACAATCAAATTTGAACTAGAACACCAAACGAAGCCCATAAATTGACAAACCCATAACAAGTGCAGGATTCATATGCTTACCTCATCTTATTTCAAGCATCCGAGGGCCTCTTTGTTTTTTCTTTCCTCTTTTTCGAAATCTTAGCTTTCTCATTTTATCGCTCACACATGTAAGAATTCTAGATCCCCAATTCAATTTCGTTTTTTGTTAAAGGAGATAATGATTTAAAATTAGACTATATCACGTCTTGTTAAAGGAGAAAGTTAATAATATTAAGCATGTTTTAAAAAAATAATGTATGTGAAAGGATTTTTTACGGTGTTAACTATTCTGTAATTGTTCCGTTTATTTATTTTTGTTACGGCGCGATGTCACGATCGAGGTTAAATGTGTTAAAGAAATCATGTTGAGGGTTTAAAGTGCTAGTGCTATAGTTTTGAAGTTTAAAATACAAACTTTTGCCACCTTGAAGGTTAAAAATGCGATTTTCCCGTTTTTAAAATAAACAAAACATTGAATAATTAATCATAGGTAGGTAGTAGCCACACCAACTTCTTCCTTATCATTAATAGTATTAAAAAGGTTGGCCGGAAAGCTCACAGGACTCGAAGAGGTTACAATGCAGACAGCGACACCTCTCGAAACAAAAGGTTCTCACAGCTTTGTCCCTTTCTCTGACGACAAACGTAGGAAAAATATACGATAAAAAAAAAATGCAACACCATTTATTATTCTCTCCATCATACATGGAAGAGAAGAGATCCGCTAATCTCGTCGCCTCATCGTGTTAGATTGCACTAGAGATCCATGTTTCCTGTAATGACGTAAGCAATTACGCATCTCTATACAAGTTTAGACAAAAGAAGAAGAGTTCGATTGTTCAGTGACGTCTGATTAGCAAAAATACAAAAGAAAAAAAAAGAAGAGTAGATAAAAGAAAGCCGTCAATCATATTTTTTGGCTCTCCGACAAAGGTTCGTAAGGAAGAGGTGTGGACTCCTTGGTAGATAAGTCGCTTACCTTACTGAAACATCGACCTCACATTTGATTAAAAGGATACTCCTTTTTTTTTCTTTATTTTGTTATTGAGCTCCTTCTCTTGCTGCTTCTACAATGGCGCTTGGTAAGAGTTACTCTCCTTTTTTTCTTTTTTTTCTTGTTTCCATGCTTAGTTTTCACGTTTGTGTCATTCTTGTGTTTTGTGTGTGTGTGGGGAGGTTCTTGGTTTAAATAATCTTATATATTTATATATATTAAGAACAATCATTGATGATGATAGTATATATGGTGAGGGATCTTTGTTATTCACCATCTTTGGCTTCTTGTGTATGTTCCTCAAAGGGCATAAAATTGCTATTATTAAATAAACATTATAGTATGCATAAAAGTGTTAGTGAGTTGCTAATTTATTTAATAGTCTCTTTGTGATTGGTTTTGTCATGATGCAGGGGGCCTTCCATGGTGTGACGTTGAACTGAATCTTAGCTCTAAATGCTTCCAAAGAACAGTTATAGATCTTGTAAATCTACTGTTCCTCTGCTTCTTCTACTTGCTCTTCATATCTGGTTGTGTTTCCAAGCGTTTTACTGTTGGTAGCCGCAAGAAAGGTTGGATCTTTGTTGCTGCTGCTATATGCTGTGCTGTTACTAGCATCATTCTTCTTGGTGCTGGATTGAAAATTCTGATTGACGGTGCTAATGATGAAGTCTCATGGGCTGGTTGCTTTGTTGAAGGGATCATTTGGGTCTCACTTACGGTTTCCCTGCTTGTTAATGGCTCCAAGTGGATCAAGATTCTTGCATCTGTTTGGTGGGTGTCTTTTGCTTTGCTGGATTCAGCAGCAAAGATTGAGATTCTTTCTCAGGGGAAAGGTATCAGAATGTTTGACATCATAACCTGCTTGATATGCCTTTTGCTTCTTCTTTGCTCCTGGATGAACTTGAGATCTTCTCCAGAAGCTCAAGAATACAGCAAAACAGGCCTTTCTGATCCTCTATTAGCTGAAAATCCTAAGAAAAACTCGGCGAGGTTAGCAACAGCAGGATTTTTCAGCTTTCTATCGTTCTCTTGGATGAATCCTTTACTCTCGTTGGGCTTCAAGAAACCATTAACCCCAGACGATATCCCAAGTGTTGGCCCGGAGGATGAGGCTGAGTTAGCTTACACTAAATTCTCTAAAGCATGGGATTCTCTTCTTCTCTCAGAGGGCGCCAAGGAAAGAAACTTGGTGTTCAGAGCCGTTGCAAAAGTTTACTTCAAGGAGAACATACTCACAGCAGTTTGTGCACTCTTCCGAACAATAGCTGTTGTATCTCTTCCACTAATGCTATATGTCTTTGTGGATTATGCAAACAGTGACCACAGGGATCTCCGCATTGGTTTCTTCAACCTAGCTTGTCTAGTTACGCTGAAGCTTGTTGAATCCTTGTCAATGAGACATTGGTATTTTGCAGCAAGAAGATCAGGGATGAGGATCAGATCAGCGCTAATGGTCGCTGCATACAAAAAGCAGCTAAAGCTCTCAAGCTTAGGGAGGAAAAGGCATTCATCTGGAGAGATTGTGAACTACATCGCTGTGGATGCATATCGAATGGGAGAGTTCTTGTGGTGGTTCCACTCAGGATGGAGCCTTACGCTACAGCTTTTGCTTTCTACTGCTGTACTTTTTGGAGTAGTTGGAGCAGGAGCTGTTCCGGGTTTGATTCTTCTTCTCCTATGTGGTCTTCTTAATCTACCGTTTGCAAAGATGCTGCAAAACTGTCAGACCCAGTTCATGATCGCGCAGGATAAACGATTAAGGTCCACTTCAGAGATTCTGAACAGTATGAAAGTCATTAAGTTGCAGTCATGGGAAGAGGAGTTCAAGAAACAGATAGAGTCATGTCGTGATGAAGAGTTCAAATGGTTGGCTAAGGCTCAGCTGACAAAGGCCTTTGGTACTTTCCTGTATTGGATGTCTCCAACAATAGTTTCTTCTGTTATCTTTGCGGGGTGTGCTTTACTGAACAGCGCTCCATTGAACGCAAGCACTATCTTCACGGTTTTAGCTACACTGAGAATTATGTCAGAGCCAGTTAGAGTTATACCTGAGGCAATCTCTGCTATTATCCAAGTAAATGTCTCTTTTGATAGGATCAACAACTTTTTGCTTGATGACGAGCTCAAGGTTGGTGAAATTGAGAGAAGTGATCTGGAGAAATCTGAAACAGCAGTTGATATACACGCAGGCAACTTCAGTTGGGATCCAGAAACTAAGACTCCAACTCTTCGAAATATAAATTTGGAAATCAAGAATGGGCAAAAAGTTGCTGTTTGTGGACCAGTAGGGGCAGGCAAATCGTCTCTGTTGCATGCAGTACTTGGAGAAATACCTAAAGTTTCTGGAACTGTAAGCAAAGCAGCCACCAAGAATCTCTCTTGTTCATGTATGTTTGTTCAAAAATGTTTACTTTGTATTGTCCGACTGAAATAGGTTAAGGTCTCTGGATCCATCGCTTATGTTTCTCAGACCTCTTGGATTCAAAGTGGTACCATTAGGGATAACATCCTCTATGGGAAGCCCATGGAAGCAAGACGATATAACGCTGCTATTAAAGCATGTGCGTTGGATAAGGATATAAATGATTTTGGACATGGTGACCTCACAGAGATAGGCCAAAGAGGGCTTAACTTGAGCGGAGGACAAAAGCAAAGGATTCAGCTGGCACGTGCTGTCTATGCAGATGCTGATGTTTACCTCCTTGATGATCCTTTTAGTGCTGTTGATGCACATACAGCTGGAGTTCTTTTTCATGTTAGTGAGAACATTGATTTTGACGATGATTTCTTAAAGAATGCTTCTTGATATGTTTAATTATGACTGCAGAAATGTGTAGAGGACTCGCTGAGGGAGAAGACTGTCATTCTGGTCACTCACCAAGTGGAATTCCTCTCAGAAGTTGATCAAATTCTGGTAAAACTAGATTAGCATCAGATAAAAAAGACTCTCAATGGCTAAACTTGATAATGATTGATGTTCTTGATCAGGTTATGGAGGAAGGAAGAATCACTCAGTTAGGGAAGTATGAGGAGCTCTTAATGATGGGAACTGCATTCAAACAGCTGGTGAATGCTCATAATGATGCAGTAACTGTTTTACCTTTAGCTAGTAATGAAAGCCTAGGAGATCTTACTAAAGTGGGTAGAGACAGAGAGATAGGAAACATCGAGGTTGTAGAGAAAATCGAAGAAGAGATCACAACAGCTAATGTTCCAGGGGCACAACTTACACAGGAAGAGGAAAAAGAGGCGGGCTATGTTGGGTTGAAACCTTTCTTGGACTATTTACGTGTCTCCCAGGGATGGTGTCTTCTATGGTCAAGCGTATTGGCTCAGGTTGGCTTTGTAGTTTTTCAAGCTGCATCAACATACTGGCTGGCTTATGGCATTGGGTTCCCAAAAATCACTGCTACAATGCTTATTGGAGTCTATAGCGTTATCTCAACTCTTAGTGCTGGTTTTGTATATGCGAGAGCTGTTACCACTGCACATCTTGGACTAAAAGCTTCTAAAGCTTTTTTCTCTGGTTTCACAAATGCAGTCTTCAAAGCCCCAATGCTTTTCTTTGATTCTACTCCAGTTGGACGCATTCTCACCCGAGTAAGATCGCTTTGCTTACATGTATATGAATAACATTACACGTCAATCAATGTATGATATAATTGTATGTAACATTTGCAGGCATCATCCGATTTGAACGTCTTGGACTTTGACATTCCATTTGCATTCATATTTGTGGTATCACCTGCTGTAGAGCTCCTTGCAGCTCTAATCGTCATGACATATGTGACATGGCAAGTAATCATCATTGCGCTTCTTGCTTTAGCGGCCACAAAAGTTGTTCAGGTACATATCTTTGTTTAACTTATACTGTAGCAGCAAAGAAGTCATTTTAATTATCTGCCTTCTTCTCTGCAAAAAATAGGAGTACTATTTAGCCTCTGCAAGGGAGCTGATTAGGATCAATGGAACAACGAAAGCTCCAGTGATGAACTATGCTGCAGAAACCTCACTTGGAGTGGTGACAATAAGAGCGTTTGGAACTGT